GCCGGCTCTGGGATTCAATACATCATCCCAGCTTTGTTGGTTTACAGAGCTCGACGCTATATTACCTCCAGATTGCGCACTGGCATCCCAACCAGGTCATCTCAGTTTGATGGAGATGATTTGGATACACAACCACTGCATCCCACTAGCTCAGACGAGCCGCTTATTCGAAACCCAAATTGTTGTGGTGCGATTACTCGCCTCTGGAACTCGTCTTCCCACATGCACATTGCCTCTCCCTTTGCTTCTCCGTTTCGACATTTCGCCTGGATTCTGTTACTTATCGTATGGTCCGTATTTTGCATCGTAGTAGTTTTGGTTGACAAAATATACGTAATTTAATCAGACACAGCTTTCACCATGGAAGCCATCAGCTGTTGATTTGTACAATGAGGTTTCCAAAAATAACTATTTACAGCAGCGAACCGACTTTGCTGTAAATGGTGACGGTGCAGTTGATTGGTCTTTTGAAATGTACTTTCTTATTCTTGCTTCCGATCTCTTTTCATTTTCTCACAACTTTGGTACCGAGGGATTAAAATGTGATCGTTCACAACAAAGACAATTCAATGAAATCGTTCGTGCTTTTCGAATGTACTTCCGGATGGTGTGGATCTGTTTGGGTTCGCTTTTCACATGATTTTCGTTGCCACCGAAATGTGGAATAAAGCGTAATCAGACAGGACATAGAAGTGCTGAGCGGACAGGCAATGCAGAACGGTTCTTATTGTTTCGGCTTTGCGGTTCTGAAGTGGCAAATAGAAGCAGATCTATTTTCCCGGGATTGAGGATGTTCACGTGATGCGGTGGTGATTTGAAAAGACAAATTGTGCTATTGAATCTCATGGGAAGTGCAATGGGAATGGAGAACCCAGAAAATTAGTTGACGTTTTATTAGGAGTATAATGGTGGAAGTTGAGGGCTGTTGGCCGGAATAGTGGAAACATAAAACTTCTTGTTAAACTTGGTCACAGCGTGAAATAGGATAGGAGAGTATTTCATCTGCAGAAAGACAATCCATTATATGCAATTGGGCGGTAGTCGACAGATGGGAGAGCAACAATTGTAACGGCCAGGTGTGCAAGGGTATGGAAGGGGTGAGTGAATGTATAGTAAGGAGTAGGATTCGAAGTAACCGTTCGCAAGGAAATTGGCACAAACTGCAATGACTGTCAAAAGTGGAATACGCAAACTTAGATCCAACAGGATAGGGCGGGCGTTTTGTACTAAAGCGCTTCAGGGACAACGGTCGTATCCCCTGCATTAACCCCCCACCCCCCCTCTGCTCTCCGAACTGGTTTTATTCACCTGCCATTCTAAGCACGATGTTCAAACAGCATCACTATCAACGGATGCATATCATTAGAAAAGACGTGAGGAATTTTAATGAGTACTTGATGATACTGATATCATTAATTTACAAATCATGCTCCGGTCGTGGACAAATCCAAACCCCTAACTCTTGGGATAGTGCGCGGACGACCGTTTCGCTAGAAGCTATCTGGATGGGTGGTTTGATTGTTAAGTTAAACCGGCACTATCAAAGCACCTGTAAATAACTTTTGAAGTGCCCCAGTTGTCACCCAAAATCACTTGTGTCCACTGTGCCGCACTGAGTACGAAAACCGAATTTCAACTGGCCATAGAACTGCAGTTGTCCCTTAGGTAAATCTCATTCCCTCTCGAGAACCGATTTTCTGTCGCTTAAAATGTCTCGTAAGGGTCATACCTAAACGGAGAGCACTCAACTTTGCAGCTCGTTCTATCCCCAAAACAAAAGGACTTGATATGGAATTTTTTTAATTATAAAGTCAAAACAGCGTAGTGGAATAGGTTGTCGTAATCCGACGTTTCGGTTGCCGTGGGCGACATTCCTCAAGGATTTCCACGATCGATGGAATACGAGTCAAATGCAGCGACATTTGGGTCTACTACCGTGTCTTCTGATTGGTGCATCCGTGATCAGTTGGCAGTCAGATTGGGTCAGTGTGCGTGGATGGGTGTGACAGACGAAGTCAGTGCACGAATCTCGAAGACCATAATTGCTTTTGCTAATTTCCACGACTCGTATCACCAGATAAGCATATCGTTGGGTGTCAGAGGACGCGTGTATCGGACTACAGTGCAGGCTGTATGGTTGTACGGTTGTTAAACTTGGTCACTGAGGTCTGAAATATCATCAGCTCTTTGACCAATGATATCTCAGAAGCATGGCTGGAACCAGTAAAATCGCAGTGAGATGATCAGAAGATAGGTTTGTGGTGAAACAGACGGTATTTCACTCGAAGAATGCATCCAACTAAGGTGATTGGGCCATGTGTTACGCATGCCAAATTTCCGCCTATCGAGAAAGCGCTATTTGCCGTACCTAATTCGAAGTGTCGGAAGCCTAGAAGTGGGTGGATTTTGGTATGGAAGAATGAAACGATATTACGAAAAGTATGGGTGGTGTTCGCCTTCCATGTAAAGGTCGATGTGATCCCCCCCCATGTGCTTGGCTTCAGACACTGGAAAATATGGCGGCTAAGTGATGTCAGCGGCGTTCATGTTATCAGTTTGTATCCAGACTGTCTGGCTGAATGTTGGAAGTGTGGGCACGTGAGATGCTTGTTGTAGGCTAGCCCTAGGTCCTCCTGCCAGCCGAATTTCTTTATTCTTTCCGTTTTGTGATTTGATTTTAAGTAAATTAACATGACTGTACGACAGTGAAGTAACAATACTCTCGTCCGGTGTTGCTGCCATTGGTGGTGATTTTGTGACAAACGACTTCTTAATGTTGAACAAAGTCGCGTAGATGAACTCGTGAAGTGGCACAAGGTAGGATGTTTAGCGTAATGTGAACTACGCCTTCTATATACCTTCTATATACCACCTTCTATATACCGCCTTCTATATACCACCGAGTCACAGTGTCTCCGGCTTTGAGTTGTTAAGGCACCAGGGTTAAAGCAGTTCGCAAATCCCATAAACTTTGTTTTGCGCTCCATATTTCATGCCATGTCGAATAAAGATGTTGCCAAAAGCTCTCGTGTTTTCCGATTTCCAGAGATCGCGAACTTCAATTTTTTCGACTAAAATTAATCGCCAGGAGACGGAATTGTTGACTCTGGGGTGTTTGGAATTGGCTTCTCTTGAGATAAATCCCGTGGAAATCTGGCTGGAACGTTCGTTTTGGACTCACATTGAGGAATACTGTTTGGCAAGAGACAGCTAAAGAATTATTTAGTGTTAGTAGTCCACATATATGATGCTCTGGTGTGGATGACTGGCGGGATGCTGTAAAACCATGGTTGCATGCCATAATGGAGACTAGCATAAGGGCTGAGGGGACTAGTTAGACATGACCCAAAGTGTCAGTCAAGCGGGACATCTTACTCCATGCTCTCCGATTAGGTGAATGTGCGGATAGAAAGTGCTGTATCGTAGAACTACTCACGAATAAGCTAAATGCTGCCTGCATTTTTGACGACGTAAACTCGACAAAAGTTGAAAGCTTCTATAATTCCTCACACATCCGCCGACACGATAACGAACACTCGAAACTTGAGCAAGGTGGACCTGATGAACAAGTGATTCGCTGGAAGAAAGCCAACGACTGATCGGAATCGGGTAGTTTGACATGTGACCTGTTCAGTTCGTCATGCGGCTGAAATTGAGCCTGTCATACTCCGTTCGCACTACCAGTGTCCTCTAAGTCATTTCATCCTCACCATCTACAGAATAACATCAGTGTTCAACGCTGATGCTTCGCTGCCATGCAACTATAATTCATTTGAAGGTCTTATTGTGAAGTAAAGAATACAAATAGAAGGGAATTGCTGCTAGCCCGTCACAATCATTCCGAAGTGTCTACACCTCTGGACACAAATTCAGGCTATCTGGTTAGAAAATGACAATAAAAACAGCAATGACCTTGGTTGGTAGCCATACTTTACAGCGTCTCCAACCAGGCGCAGTGGGAATCACACGGTTTCCATCCTGGAAGCCTATTTGCACCAATAGCGCTCACACTTCGTAATCTCTTCCATACTCGTCAGCTAGGTGAAGGGTTGACCACTTCTATGAAGTGAGCACGAAAAACAGATCTTCTGCAAACTAAGATGCAACATGAGCAATACGCGGATTCTGGTCTTGGACACATTCTAGCCATTGCACAACCGAAAACTCGCTTTCTAGTTGCCTCATAAAGTAGTCGTCGATACCAACCCACGCCAGCTACGGTTCTGAGACGACTGTTGACGAATGAGGGTGTCTCAGTTACGCTGATCGAAAAGGTTAAGTCTCACAGCCGTACAACAAAGCAGCCCGCACTGTAGGCGGACATACACGTCCCGCGAGATTCAGACATATACCGGTTTGATACCATGGGCATTCCGTTTAGTAAACGCCACCAGACCACCAGGTATTCGCACACGCTTCATTCGTCTCATTATAGTCGGAACTGATACAACATCCAAGATACGTAAAAAGTTACACTACTTCGAGGGTCTTTGCCTGGATTGTAATTGACGTGTTCAGTGACCGCATGTCCAGCAGCATAACCTTCCACTTTGTGGGTGTAAAGCACATGCTAAAGGATTGAGTGATTTTGACCAGTTAATCCCAAAACACCTGCCCTTCGAATACGAGATCAGCGTTTGCATATTCCAGTTGGACAAGGTTTTCGTTAGCAGCCATCTGAATACCAGTGTTTCAAAAACCTTAAGGCGTTCTTTTTATCAACTTGTCGGTTAGAAAATTGAATAAGAATGCATTACTTTTATTTCTCATATTTATCAAACTCAACCAGTATCTGTTCATTGAAGAAACGAAGTTAGTGGACAACGATGCGCCCCTCACAGTTTAAATTGAGTTAACTCCTGACGAAGGGGTCTTGTAGTAGTCGGTCACTGGATGAAAATGGGTTAATCGAGCTTACCTTACTCACAAACTAAGAAGCCAGTCCACACCATCGACAGCATGACATCAGTGTTCAACACCGATGCTTCACTGCCGTACAACTATAATATATTTGAAAGCCTTATTGTGAGGGAAAAGATAAAGGAGGGGAAGGGACTTAGAGCTAGCCTACTACAATCATTCCGAGGTGCCTTCACCTCCAGACACTCATTCAGGCAACCTGGATAGAAACTGACAACAAGAACGCCACTGACATTGGTTCGCAGCCATACCTTACAGCGTCTCCAACCAGGCGCAGTGGGAATCACACGGTCCCCATCCTGGAAGGTGAGTAGCACCGACAGCACCCAAACGTTCCGCGTTTTCTTCCATACCCTTCTACCAGGTCAAGAGCTGGCCGCCTCTCTGAGTTAGGAATGAAAAACGGCACTCTCTTCGGCAAACGATGGTGCGGTATACGCAACACATGTCCCAACCAATGTAGCTTTTCATGCTGGACACATTCTCCAATGGAAGTACCCGTCCCACAACCGAAATCTCGCTTTCCAATCGTCCCACTACGGGGTCGCTGATGCCAACCCACACGATCTATGGTTCTGAGACAACGATTCTCGAACACCTGAAAACGTCTCAGTTCCGCTGCTCGAATAGGTCTATTCTCACAGTCATACAACAAAACAGCCCGTACTATAGCTTGTTACACACGTCATAGCCAACCCACAAGTATTTGTAGCCACGCGGAGACAAAAAAGTTTGAAGTGGGAAAAGATGAACTATATGTCAGCATTCGGAGAATTAAAGGACCAGGTGCGGGTAATATCGTAATGGGTCAAATACAGGCAAATAGTGACTGTCTGGTAGGAGATTCATAAATACCGCACTGAAAAAACAGGAGGGACAAAAGTACAAATGAGGGTATCACAAAAGGTGCAGATAACCGTGCAGTTTCACTACAATTCCAACGATAATGGGTCCACGTAATTAAAACCCTCAACGTTCCGCTTCGGCAGATAGGTTCTGAAATTAAAAAAAGTAAGCAGTCACAATGGCGCGTCTCCACACAAAGCAATAGAAAAAATGGTTTAAAGTTATGCCAACCCCGTTTGATTTCGAAGGTCACCTACGAGTTGGTTTCTTAGCACACTCAGCCATACTGATAACTTAAGTTATCAATCTGGTTTTACACGATGGGGATCCAATCCTTGGTCTTCAGAACTTAGGGGGAAAACTTAGGGATTAACAGCCGTCATAACGAGTATCCAGCGCCTGATAGCTGATTTCTCACATCGAGACTGATCAGCGACTAGGATGTTTGATGCCTTACAGGTGGGGGGATTACATACTAAGCTGAGGGGTATACAGATGGAGTGCACAGGAACAACCAAACCAAAGGAACGACCCATAAATCTGCCTGTCAAGACACACAAATACAGGTCACAAAGGCTAAACCACTTCATAAAGTATTGGCAACGCACTGTTGTTTTGGAAGCGCCCTTGTCGCGTTCAACTGATCCGGCGTTGGTTCAGGGACATGTGGTCCTGCTTCAATATGCCTCACACTAGCGAAAAAGTCGGTCACGGGTACCGTGCGAATAGGTCGACGTAGAAGCTCGGTTCGTGTAACAACTGTCGACAGGCACTGGTGTTTCGGACAAATTGACAGCTACAAGATAGACGAGGAATAGGTAATGCCTAAATGAAAACCAAGGGTTTGAAAAGGAAAACGTTGATCGCAGTCAAGGTTTATGATACACAACCTCCCTCTAGGAACCATACCAACTATCTAAGACGGGCGGCAAAGACCTTTAAAAAGGGAGATTCAAAGGAAAAGATCAAATTATGACCGTGCGCGGTATCCCTCCCGGAGGGATTTGGCACTCTTTAATCCCAACAAGCAGGAAGAAAGCATTTTAATCAACCTGACCCTGCACCGAGAATACCATGACAAACTGAGATTCCTGAGGATCCTAATGAGTGTCTCACTACGTAGTCATTCTCACGCTACAGCGTTCGAAGTGAGCGACGACAAGGCGGGGACGATGATCAACCTACGAGCTGGGTCCAAACATCTTACGACCTATGAACATTGTATATTGGAATCAGATAGCTGTAGCTAAACATATAGCTAGTGTGGACATTGGTTGCTTTCAAAGGTTGATAAACTACTAACGAGGTTTTGACTGATGAAGTTTCCTGAAGAAGATACCCCATATGGTATGTATTGTAGTAATCAGGCATATTGCCAGCGTCCCCATGAAAAAGCGCTTGGTAATAACACCCACGTGGATCAGTAGTTTCCTTCCTGAGAACCCATTCCACCAAGAATCTGCATGGTTCGCTGCAAAGAGGAATCCATTAAATTACCATTATCAACACCTGTCCTCTCTACACTTATCATTGGTGATTCGATGGATGGCAAGTTTTACGATGAACTACAGTGTGCTGTTGAAAAAATACCGAAGTGCGACATTCTAGTCATTGCTATGCACTGGCACAGACCACTCGGATGACAATAAGCAACCAGTCGTTTAGGTTTGTCAATTACGGTCGACCAGTGGTTGCCGAAAGGCGTTCTCAACCTTCCAAAGGGAGCAGCTGCATACTAAGTATTCCAAGGAGAGGCGAACAGCTCACCAGCTAGACTATATATTCACCCGGTTGGACAGGGTATATTCAGTTGACGAAAGCCGGCCATGTAAGAATGAAGGGTAGTGGTCGAGCTCGCGTGCGCACTTCACTGAATAGTAAATTTACTTCATGCCGAAACCCCGTATCTTCAAGAGAACATACGTCATTTCGTCAGGGTTTCCCGAAAACTCTTAATCCCTTTCAGGTGCCAGTTCTATGAAACTGATAGATAAGACGACATACAGGTCTCATTGATATGGGATGCGCTAAAAACGTTACCACATGATACGGCCTTTGCGAAACTAGGTACCACGCCCCACAAACGAATGAAGTGTCTTCCCAAGTGGAATTTGTGATTTCCTAGTATGCCTTGTTGGACAGAACTCCAGACCGAAAACAACTACAATCGACCCTGAATGACCGAAGCTGAAACTACGGGAAACGCTACTAATTCCACTGATTTTCCTAAGTAGTTGTGCTTGCTCTACTCATGTATGGAGGCCTGTCTCATGAGACTCAGCTGAGCAGTTATTGGGTGAACGAGAGTTAAGAGTGTAACGGTGATATTACTGATCGGGAGGCACGCGAGTAGTATGTGTTGTTCGTAGAATTTCACTTTGGGTCGATTGAAAAATGGAATTCTGTTGCGGAATTCGTGGGACCACTGTGGAACATTTGCTTGGAGTTGACCAACGAATGGGTGGAGGCATCGAATCTCTAGGAAGACTCGTTCGGGAGAAGATCTGTGTCCAGTTTTTGGAACTAAGATGGAGATTAGTGTTTTGCTTCCCTGTTCAATGGTCTGTAACCGGTCAGTTGGCATTTCCGAATAAATAACTCCACAGCAAGTGCCTTCTTCCTTTTCATTTGGTACCGTGACCAGGGTAAGGATGAGGATCCCGTGGCCGCAACCATTTGAGCATGGGGATGTTCGGACCTTCCTGGAGGACTTTGAGGAGCTTGCGGAGGGTGCCGGGCTGGAGACCGACCGGGGTAAGTTGGCAGCGCTGAAGACCCTCCTCAAGGGCCGGGCGAAGGCGGTCCTGCATGTGGCCAGAAGAAGCCCTCAGAAGATGGATTGGGCCGCCGCGAAGGAAGCCCTAGCAGCGGAGTTCGACACACCGGCCGACCGCCAGGAGGCTATGAGGCGGTTCAAGACGGCCAGGATGGCGCCCGGATCTGACCCGACCGTGTTCTTCGCCGGCCTGCAGCAGTTGTTGGATCGCGCTTTGCCCACACTGGACGGAGTGTCGCGACACCAGTTGCTGTCGGATCAGTTCGTCGAAGGTGTGCAGCCCGCGCTTGGTGCCCAGTTGCGGTTGGCACGAGCAACTGGCCAGTTGAGTGTGGAGGAGCTGGTGCGTCTGGCCCGGGAGCTGCCCCAGGAACCACTGGCCACGTTGCAGTCGCAGGAGAACAGGGATGCTGCATCAGTGAAGGAACTGCAGACCAGGGTGGACCAACTCACCGAACAGCTGGCAGCCGTGAAGACGGAATCGCGGAGGCACGCTCGAACCAGCCGGTGCTACATGTGTGGCAAGCCTGGCCACTGGAAGAATCAGTGTCCCCGTAACCGATCGCTTGTACACAATAAAACTTTAGAGTACTCCTCTTTTCCTGGGTGGGTCGCGATTAGCGCACTGACACAAGCTACCGTACAAGCCATTGTCGAGGTAGACGGGAAAAAGGAGTTATGTTTGATTGATACCGGAGCAGGCGTATCGCTGAGGCAAAGAGGGAACCAAGCTGAACACAGACCGTGCGCGCTAGCCGTGAGAGCTGTTGGCGGATATCGATTGAAGATTGACGGACTGTCAACGCACTCGATACGCCTAGGCGACAAGTCCGTGCAGCACGCGTTCCTGATCAGCCCAGACGTAGAGCAGACAATATTGGGAGCTGATTTTCTCAAGGGCACAGATGCCGTGATTGACCTAAAGCAGGGAAGGCTGGTGACAAAGTATGGCGCAATCAAGCTTGAAGGTTATCCAGGCACTGTCGTGAGGGAGCTGTGTGTCCGAAAACTTCCGTCTTGTAATGTATCGTCAATACGGGCCGTGGTTGAGGAATATTCCGAACTGTTTACGGGCGATGAGGATCCGTTTGGCTTCTGCCCGTGGATTGAACACGAAATTCCTCTGTCATCAGAACGCTTTCGACCTTATGGCCCCCGTCCGTTGCCGCTCCATCTACGGGAGGAGGTCCATAGACAGATTCAGGAGATGTTGAAGAACGGTATAATCGAAGAAGCCAACAGTGCGTACAATTCCCCAGTTGTGCTTGTAAGGAAGACGAACGGAAAATACAGATTTTGCGTGGATTTCCGGCGCTTGAATGAACTGACCGTAAATCGGGTTGTGGCTGTGCCTTCGGTTGCAGAGATTTTCGATTCCCTCCAGCACTCCCGATACTTTACTGTGTTCGACTTGCGTTCCGGATATTGGCAACTACCTATCAAGGAGGAGGACCGGGAGAAAACGGCGTTTACGGTTGGGGACACCCAATATCAATTTAGACGAATGCCGTTTGGTTTGTCCGGGGCACCATTCACATTCCGGCGCTTGATGCTTCGTGTAACCAAGGGACTCCAGAATGTTGCCGTGTACGGAGACGATATCGTTGTGTACAGCAATTCGGAACCAGAGCACGTAGTTCACTTGAAGGCTGTGTTGGAGCGGATCCGGGAGGCTGGCCTGCGGATAAATGAAGCCAAGACACAGCTCGCTCGGAGTTCGGTGACACTGCTGGGGCATAAAGTGGGTCAGGGAGAAGTTAGCCCACTGCCCGAAAAATTGGCAAAGATCAGGGATTGTGCTGTTCCCAATTCAAAGCGGTCTCTACGGCAGTTTCTTGGACGAGCAGCATACTACAGCCGGTTCGTTAAGGATTTCAACACGATCGCTGCGCCACTGTACGATTTGCTCGGTCAAAATCGGAAATTCGAATGGACCGGAGAAGCACATGAAGCTTTTGAGCGTGTCAAAGCGCGGATGTCGGATCAGCAACTGACCCTCAAACTTCCCAGGGTCGGAGAGATGTTCATTGTTGCAACGGACGCCAGTGATCGCGGTATCGGCGCAGTCCTAAAGCAGAGGAATGGAGTTATCGAATATGCCAGTCGCGTCCTGACTAACGCTGAACAGAAGTACTCCACCATTGAGAAGGAATGTTTAGCGATCGTCTGGGCCCTGGATAAGTGGAGACCATATCTGCTTGGGCAAAGGTTTCATGTCGAAACCGATCACAAACCCCTGGAGTGGATCAGGACCACCAGAGATCCTCGCGGGAAGCTCGCACGCTGGGCACTCCGGTTGCAAGAGTACGACTTCACAATCCAGCACGTGCCGGGGAAGGAGAACCACCTAGCTGATTGGCTGTCAAGGCCAGAGGCTGAAGATGAGGTCCCCAAGATCATGATTAGAGCCAATGGCCTCGTCGTCGAACTGGATCCCGGAAAGTTGGTGCAACTCCAACGGCAGGATCCGGTGTTACAAAAGGTTGCAGCCGCCTTGTTGGATGGAAGGAACATTGAGAACGGAGAGGGAGACAAGGAATTAGAAGCGTTCCAGAGTCACTTTGATCGGCTGAGGCTGAATGAAGCTGGCATAATTTCCTGGAACGCCACTGATTCAGATGTTGTGCTGCCCGTGATACCTCGCGTCTTGAGACGGAATCTCATCGTTGAATGCCATGAGATGGCACATACAGGGTGCACCAAGACATACGACCTACTTCGGCAGAGGGCCTACTGGCCCGGGATGAGAAGTGAGGTGATGGATTATGTGGTGTCCTGTAAGCGTTGTCAACTAATGAAAGCGGATACGACAGGGGCAACCCATCCCATGGAACCCATTCCTGTCTCAGAAATCGGCGAGTTGTGGTCAGTTGACGTCATGGGCCCCTTTCCGGTGACAACCAGTGGGAACCAATACATCGTGATGATGACAGAACACCTGTCGCGATGGATTGAGGCGGCAGCCGTGCCGAATCAGCGGGCGACGACGATCAGCGGAGTGGTAATGCATCACATTGTGGCCAACCATGGGGTGCCAAAAATGATCCTAACCGATCAGGGGCCTTGCTTCGAGAGCGAAGAGTTTCGTAATTGCTTGCAGAAGCTGGGTATCAGACGGCTAAGGACGGCACCATACCACCCGCAAACAAATGGCCTGACCGAACGTAACAACCGAACGATCAAGGAGTGGCTTGCGGCCAAAGGAGGTGACTGGGAAATGAACTTGCCGATGGTGTTGTTAGCTCATCGTGCTTCCACGCAGTCAACCACAGGCAAGTCCCCGTTTATGTTAATGTACGGTCGACATCCGCGCCTTCCGGTTGATCAAGAAATTGGGTTGTCTCCGGAGGAGCTAGAGGAAGAAAGAAAGAGAGCTCGAGAAAATTTGACCGCCGTTCAGGAAAGGGCTAGGCAGAAAACGGCAAGTAGAAAGGTCCGAACGTTCCCCATAGGCACGAAGGTCAAGTGGAAGGATCACCAGAATCCTGGAAGGAGTGGACTGGGGTCGCGGAAGCTGGGCAGTCGATGGCAAGGACCGTTTGTAGTCACCGACCGCCGGGGGAACGTCTATACCATTCAAGATGGTCGGGGATCTAAAGTAATGAATGGGACGCAGCTTCGCAAGTGGCATGATACACCTGAAGTGACCGGCTGCCGAAGCCGACCTGACGGAGGTAAATGAAAATCGATGGCATACGAACGAGCTTTAAGGGGTGGAGGTGTGTAACGGTGATACTACTGATCGGGAGGCACCCGAGTAGTATGTGTCGTTCGTAGAATTTCACTTTGGGTCGATTGAAAAATGGAATTCTGTTGCGGAATTCGTGGGACCACTGTGGAACATTTGCTTGGAGTTGACCAACGAATGGGTGGAGGCATCGAATCTCTAGGAAGACTCGTTCGGGAGAAGATCTGTGTCCAGTTTTTGGAACTAAGATGGAGATTAGTGTTTTGCTTCCCTGTTCAATGGTCTGTAACCGGTCAGTTGGCATTTCCGAATAAATAACTCCACAGGGCCGGCCTTCTTCCTTTCAAGGGTAGCAAGATAGGTCGGACACTTCATTCTCCCGCCCAAACAGCCCGCAACAGAAGCAGGTGGCACTCACTAAACTCCACAGCAAGGGCCTTCTTCCTTTCAAGGGTAGCAAGATAGGTCGGACACTTCATTCTCCCGCCCAAACAGCCCGCAACAGAAGCAGGTGAACAGCACTCACTACTGTGTCTCTTGAAGTCCACCATTAGAACGACTCAGATTATCATAAAAGTAAGAAACGAAAGCTCCTTAGATAGTCTTTCAGATTGCATCTGTCAGCTTTGCTCCGGACAGCGTATGCATTATTCTGCTCTATATCAGGTGTTTCTGACTAACAGAAAGACCCGTCTCTTGAGAAGAAGCTTGAAAAAAAAGACAGTTCAGCCGTGGAAGAATTATATGGACATAAGTTCGATTGGTAGAGCCGCCCGACCATTCGCCGATCTACATCTTAGCCACTTTCCAGCCGTGAAACAGTCGCACAGAGTCGAAGCAAAGGAGTTTCCGTTATTGCAAGGGTTGTGTCAATCATATACTCATCTTGCGTATAGTCCTGGAGCACTAATCCATTACAGTTTGCTTCTCAGAATTTATTGTCATGTTTGGCTTCTTTGACAGAAAACTATTTTGTAAGTTTATATAAGCTAGCAGTATACCCGAAAAGAGATCATTCCACAGAATTTGTATTACTTCACAACCTGAGGACGCGTCTGAGTATACGGTGAGGAATTGTTATAACAACTGATGTGAAACAGTAGTGCCCGCATCGCTCATTCTGCTCACTCAGACAATGCACCGGGCAGGAAAATACGCCCTCTCTAGCTATCCGGGTGTTTAGTAAACCCCATGATTATTCAACTGCATACCTTGAATACGCAGGGCAGTCATATTTATAATAATTACGGGACAGAATTCCAATGGGCCTCCAACCGACAACTTGATCGCATCCATTTTTGCCAGTCATGTTTATCCGAGCATTCTACTCTCAGTTGAAAGTAAAATCTTCGGACGTGTGGTCGCTTAAAAATGCCTGAGGTCGAGTATCCTCTCGAATCGTTCATTAAAAGACTAGACATAACGGTTTCTTCCTGGGGAGCAATTTTCATAGGGGAGAAGGAATTCCTTTAGGTCTAACTTATGCCATCGAAGGCCCCAGATTAGCGTAAGTTTGTTTAAAAATCCACTTAAGTATACAGTGCTTTCTAAAGGTCGTTCTGGTCAACCAAACTGTCTGAAATGACAACTGTCACTTGTATAGATTAGGAGAACCAGATTTTGCATTTTACCATATAGACAAGACAATTACTCTGTGACCTGCAGTAGGTTCGACCCAGAACGGAATGTCGAGCATATTCATAAATGGTCATAGAATAAGGATGACCCAAAGCCGACCGACGGAAAGCCTCAGTAAGAACCACGAAAAAAAATCGGAATGGAAACAAACTCCGGCTTTCTGTCAGTAAGGCGCCATTATTGAGCGAACAAGCGCAGCTCCAAAATTGTTTGGTTTCGTGAGCTATATTCACCCACATAGGCAACATTGGCTCAGTGAGTGGAACTGAGCATTGCTCAGGGGACGAGAGGTTGGATAGCAGATAACTCTATGCTCTTGGTGTGGATGGTACACTCTAACCATAATCGTTCGGCTGTAACGCCCTTTCAATGCCTAACTGCCATGCCACCCGAAGGAAGCATGAGGGCTGGAATACTGTCAGGCTGCACAAGCCTGGACGGGAGAAGTCGAAAGGCAGAGGTCGGGTTCGAACCAAGGACCTTTCAGTCAGTAAATTCGCGCTCTAACCACTTAAACCATCTCGCCCGCAAAACCACCGAAATGAGGGGATAGAGTATCAAGCGGTACTTTTTAACTCGGGATTTCTTATCCAACTGTTTTTATCATCATGGGAACATTTCTCAGAAGTGCAAACAGAGGGAACATAGATCAACTGGCACCTACTGCTTTGAGCTTAGCATTCAAGTGTTTCGGGTGAAAGAATCACATCTGCGAGTTGCCAAAGCAGTCGCGCCATCCTTTGGTGCACAATCAGCCTTTACTAGAAATGAACCAAACTTCATTGCCATGGTTAAATGCGGATTGTGTCACCAAAGCATCTGCATAGCGCCGGTCTGTGTGAATCGACTGGCCATTTTGGGCTGTTCGAATAAAACGGCATAGTTCTTTGTAACTGTAGGGCAAGAAACAAGCCTTTCCGGTGTTTGATTGATTCGGGACGAAAAGGACGCGCGTCACACAAAGGACGCATTTTTATTTGCCTGCTCGATCACCCAATATAAGTGGTGTCGAAATTCTCACATTTCAAACACATAGCCAGCGTGGTTACCTGGGGAAATCGGGTCCTTGGAATGCACTGTCTGCCTGCTGTGCCGTCGGCCTCAAGCAAGCACGTGCAAATTCACCGGGCGCTTCATACATGACCATACAATATATAAGACGGTTTTTTTGCTAGGTTTCGTTTTACCTGGGTCTGGTTGACCCAGGCATTCTCAATAAAAGATACTGGATGGATGTTTTGCTGTACCAAAACCGTGGATTTATTCATCCAGTTAGATCTACAGGCTTCAATAGCCCACAATCTACGCCACATACAATGATTAATCTACTCGATTTATTGGCATTGAATACGGTGCAATTAGTTTGGGATTTATGATCTTATTCAACACCGCCAACTCCGGTGGTTTGGCCACCTTCAACCAAAAGCCAGTACCACCCCCTCCGTCTGACGAAGCCGCTTGGATGACCATCTAGAAGCATATCGGTATCATCCAAGCTGGTATCGAATGCCTGAATCTACGGTTGATTGGAATCACAACTGGGTCACCATACGAGCAAAGCTAAAACCGGACCATTGTAATCGATGACATCAGTTAAGTCATTAGTATAACGAGATAGCAAATAAGTACCGTTAATTGTGAGTGGTTCTCAAGGAATTAACAGCACATATATGTACATGAATCCAGTAGCTAAGAGAGGTCAAGTAAAGATTAAGGGAAATTAAGGTAGCCGTTTGACAATGAACTGCCCGGTAATCACTCCGCAAATCTGAAGAGAAGAGGTCAGTGTCAACCATCACGTAATCGGGGAATGTTTTGGTTTGAAACTGTTACAGGCCACTGAAAACTAGTCATCTTCCCGCAAGAGATAATCACAATAAATAAAGCAAACGTAAGCGATAGTCTGCAACCCAACGAGGAGGAAATGAATCCCGTTCCATAAGACAGAAGAGTCCCTTATGAAGAGGTAATTTGCTCCACTCGTTGTCAGAACTTAGGAACTACATCGCTAACCAGAACATTCAAGGAGTTTGGGCCCCATACTGACCTAAACTGTTTCTGTAAGAAGTTTTTTGAACGAAGTAATAAAAGTCCATAAATGAGACACTGAAGGTCCTGATTTTGTTTGAAAATATCCCATGCGAGTTTCAGTAAGAGTAAATTATAAGCGAGTCTTTAAAGCCGGTCAGAATTTGCACTCAAAGAAAGTCAACTCTGTAAACAATGCTCCAAGAATTGCATTTATTGGAATGAATGTTATGCCGGTGACTTACGAATTGGTCCATGGTTTGTTTGCTCTCCGGTGTGATGCCTTTCAAAAATTCGGATGCGTGATACGAATACCGATCAGACATGAAGACTCCAATGTCCTTATCAACGTGGAGCTACACGGTAAAAAGTATACAAACTGAAATTGTTTCCGAGAATTCTCCGGTGAAAGTGGGGAAGAAAAGCATGTACTAAGAGATTCTGATTAACTGGTTGCAGCAGTGCATGAATGCAGAATCGGAAAGGACATTTTTAAAAGTGATCGTTCAGAGTTAGTGGTGCAGTCTATGGAATAAAGCAAAACCGGATTTTATGGAAAACGACCCGAGTAACTAGGTGAGACACCCCTGCACAGTATTAATTGCTATAAACTAACGGCACTGATTCACCGGTGATCAGGTTATAATGACAAACGGGTCCACCGCCAGTTGCAGACAAAGACGGTTGCACGAGCCGCATCAACTTGTGTTCACATGAAGCAGTTGACGTAGTTGTCCAGACATTTTATCCATTCTACACCCCGTTACCAATCGTAGATGTGACCACCAGTCGGTTGACAAAGCGTCTACTACATTACTCGTAACCGCACGCTGTGTTGTTTTCTAAGACTCTCCGATAAGAACTACTCACTCAGTCTTTACAGAAATTTGTGAACAACGAATATATGATGAACCTATTAAAACGAACAACGAATAGCTTCGCGAAATAAGCTCATTTACACACCAATTTGGCCGCAACTCGATACTCAACTGAATCCCAGCTAAATCGTCCACCGAAAAGCCTGCAGCAACCTTGAATCGTTTCCTTCAAGAAAACGGATAGCTTGAAAATGGTGAGGGAACTCAGGGGGAGAATTGATATGTCAGATACGTTCATGCGACACTGTGGTTCAGAGAAACCTAACCGGTAATATATTTCAAAGTCTCAGAAGATGAGTTGGAGGGCATCAAAATAGCAGTTTGTCTTATCACGATGAACAGCTAAAGAACTTAATTTTCAAGTTCGACGACAAACACGGACAAAGGTATGCTGAATACTATTCGCCGGTTAAGAACGGAGTAGAAACATCACTGGTAAAGCTATGATCTGCCCGTGATAATATTAATTTCGCGATTTTACAGAGGGCATACGGAAGATGTCAGTGTTTGATCATCAGTGCCTCCGAAGCATTAGTCAGGTTTGGTGGGGACATCACATTAGTAATGCTTAGGTACGCCAAATGGTCTTGAGAAGAAGGAACTCTCCCGCGACAGATGAATTACTCACGCTTCATAGGTTGCGCTGGTTGGGTCATGTACTCCGCATGCCAGATAGTCTGCTCTTGTCACCAGGGTTGGTCGCTTCCACTTGGAAGCGACCGAGAGGTGAACGGTGTATGACCTGGCAACGAAGTACTAAAACACTAACCAGTCAGGTGGATCACTGCCACCTCCCTGGATGGGGACCCCGGTACTCAAATCACTAGTGGTTATTGACATTGTCGGAAATGACGGAATCGCGCGGTCACTGGCGCTCGTGCATCAGAGCTATCGCCTTCAATGCGTAGCTGCCTGATTTCCGAACAAACTGAGTATGTCTTTGCCTACAAGACTTTGCTTTGTATTTCACTTTCCTGTTTTTCGGTGATCAGAACTGTAGCAGCTGGAACCAATGTGACTATGGCACACGGTTTGTAGCTGATAAATTGAGTTGATTGAATTGAACTGATATTTAACTCGACGAGAATGTAATGTACTGCTAATAAAATTGCTGAAAATCCGTCGACAGCCCACGACCGGTTTCGCCCATTTTGGGGCTCATCAGGTAGGCGCAGTCCCCTTATGTTCTACTTGTTTACCTTATGTCCTACGTATGAGTAGTGCATCACAAATGTATACATGTATCGCGATACCTAGAATATCGTAGCGACTGAAACATGAGGCGACCTGGTGCGGCACATTCAGTTGCCTGCAAACATCACAAACGAGAGATTCAGCTGGGTTCCAGGCGAGTCTGTCGAAAAACCACATTGGTTTGCAAATGAGTGTATATTCGAAAATCATATATTCTTTATATGAATGTGCGACAAAGTGGCATTATCACCAGAAAAATTGTGTATATGCTGGAGAATAGTCCGACAGTGGCGGTAGTTTATTACCGCAGTTAAACAATGGGAATCAGGCTCCAGTCAACCACCAGATCACTGTGGGACTCAGTTTAAAACTTCCAGCAGAATTCGAAATGACAACAGCACCGATGAGGACAATCTCCAATCACTCTACGTGTGCAGGCTGGAAGTAAATCACTCAAAATACTTTGCATGTCTAAGTTTCACAAAAACAAAAACGAGTACAGCCTATGATTCTCCACATCTGGTTTATTTTCACAATAAATGAAATTAAGTCGATCAAGTTCGCACACGGAGCCACGTGGAAGTGTAAAATAAGTTACTGAACTGTGACCATTAAATTACAGTTATACAATAAACCGCGTGTTTATTTCTCTCACTTGAAATGACGAGAATACCGTCAGTTGACTCAACGCAGGCAAAGTGGAGCAGCTGAATATCAATGAAGAAGCTATCTCCGTTACGCCTTGTCTGGTATCCAACTAAGAATCGAATAAAGCATGGACAAATGCGATCCACTGGTTTATGGACTACTCGAGTGCTACGCTATTCTCGTATTAGCCTTGGCCGAAAGAATTGTCGGTTTAATCGTGTTGGTCACACAAGTAGGCCCTTTTGCCGCTTTGATCTTGATTTTTCAACGCTGATTCATCATTTACAACCAAGGATATCAGCATTTGGTGATAAATTTGCCAGGAATGAGTTTTAGAAATGCATCAATTTAGATTTAATTAATTGACTGGTAGAACATCCTGAATGCTCTCGAGAAATACACTCATTTGCAAATCAATTTGGTTTACACGAGAGACTCAACTGAATTTCTCAGTTATGATGTTCTACAACTGAATGTGCTGCACACATGCCACCTCATGTTTCAGTTGGCACGATATTCAAGATATCGCAGCATATTTTCATGAAGAAAACTACTAACTGCTGAAAACTCTCCGCCGAAGAGTTTTTCAGCAACCTTGTGAGTAGTTTCCTTCCTGAATGCGCAACTACAAGTTCACCATAGCTGTTCGAAATCACAGATATCCATGCACACGCTCTTGAGATGTGGCTGTCATATAGGTAAACGACAAGGTGGAATATAGGCAATGAATCAGATGTTACCGGCAAGGGCTGTATGTTGGCAACTCGTCGAGCTCTTCTTAATGGTAATCTTCAAAGCCAGTTTGTTAATTCTGGCTGCACATCACGTATACATGAAAGTGACTCAGGGTGACTACAGTCATCTGATATTGAATCCATATCACTGGGTACGTGGGTACGCATCTCTACTACCAGGATAATCGCCGTCTGGTACAGCTGAAAGGCGAGACTGGCGACTATCTCGAATGGTATGTAGGCTTCAATTTTGCGCAGACCAAAAGGTGTGCGACAGACCGTAAGTGATGTCATACTTAGCTACGCTGCCGATCTCCTATCGGCCTACCGACCTGTGCGAATAAGTGATGCCGTCTTTCTCGAATGGCACTACAATCAGCAGTTTCACGTATTGTAAGCACAGGAGTAATATAGTAACAAAAAATAACAAAAAGACCTTAGCGTCTCTTAATACGGTTGTGTGCGGAGTTGGTCACGTGGTATAATTACATCGGTCTATTTCAGTTGGAAACGTTGAAAATGGTAATGTGTTCAATACAAGTTAGTACTGATTTGTGATCTGCAGGTTTCCCTGATGTCACGATAAATAAACAGAGGTTAAAAAACAAATCCGGCTTAATTGATACCGACAACTGGCCTCCGTATATTCCGTAATTCTGAACGAGCCGACTAAACTATCCTCTTGGCGTAGCTCCTACACGTTGGACAACCGTACCATTCTGGGTGATGACTAGGGCTGTCTACATAGGTAACGAGACCTCATGGGCGAATCCAAAAATGATATCCTCAGCTGCGCATAGAACCTATGGTTCAGAATCGGATCCCATTAAGAGACAAAACTGGACATACAGGATTACCAGTTCATTCGTCAAACAATGACAAAAAATCGGGAGACTGACCGTCAACACTGGACCACGGTTACGCAGATCATGGAAAGGTATAAAAACAAACTCACTGAGAGGGAATCTTCACCGATTGCACTACTGCCGACGGTGACAACGTTGGGTGAGTAAATGAGCTTTCCCATTGACTCCGCTTGACAAGTATCCACAATGAACAGTATTTCGTGATACCTGAACACATTAAAGTAGATAACTGTGAAAGAATAACCGATGTGGATGGAACATAAAAAAACAAGTTACCTCCCATACTTCCTAGTGGCTGACTAGTTGGGGGACCAGGTGAAAAAGAGATGACCTAGCATTGCAAATCCGAGATAACCACACACACACAATACGTATTCATGGACACAATAGGCTAGATTTCCCATGAGTCAAGCTTAATATTTTTATATTGTACCAAGGCTAAGGCGTAGCAAATAGCTTGGAAATATATCGCTAAATTCTGTCCCAAATTCTATCAACAATAGTAATTTATCTTAGAGTGAGTGATCAATATACCAATTTTATGATCATAGCTGGTCAGACGAAACTTTTCTTGAATTACAAATGATACACATCTATATGCAACGGCTCACCACTTTTCACGCCGTTCTTTTGAGGCTGGTGTTAGATCACATTGCCTGAAACCTCATCTGGCTCACCTACCATCATCAACAGATCGTGGAACTTCAATCCGTTGTGCATCACCAAAAGGCGCTTCGAACACTCCAAGAAGTAATTATTGATGTGATACTCATACGACTGTCACGCAGATTACCCGAAAAACGCTACCGGATCAAGAATGTTCGACAAGTCACCAGCTTAAATCTGCCTCTTGTAATGCCACCAGATCATACAAACCATCTTTTAGAGTATACTTAGACTTATAGTGATAGTCTAAACACCCTTTTGTCATATCACCCGTCGTCAGTCTCTTCGTTCATATCAATTTGCATTCGGTAGCAAAAAAGGCGCACCTCTGGTGGACAACGACTCAGCATGTGCGGCACAAAAATCAATCACTGCTCTTAGCATCAAAACATTCAGTCTCCATCGATGAGCGCGAGGGTGTGCAGGTACAAACACCTGACATTCTGTGCTACTAGTGTTAACACCGACGCGTTGCTGTTGCATGAAAAGCGCTGACTAATACGTATCCTAGATGACATTAAAACTGTACGAAGCCTAGAGCAGGCAATAAGCCGGTGCATTGAAGTAGCGGATCAGTTCGTTGAGGAACGACTTAAAAATATCTGACAATACCACAGTTTTTTGATCAAGAGTTAAAGACGAGCTGATGTTCTGATTGACAGAAACCAAAATGGAACTGCAACGAGAGTAATATGAGCACCGGGTAAAACAAATATGGACTGAGAACAAGAAAAACCGACGGTGAGAAATTTCAGTCGATTGACGGACTAAACGGTTGGCACACCGCATCAGTTGGCTCTATAAAGTGCCTGCGAAAAGGCATTGTAGTGCTATTCCAGGTGTACAACCCGTCACAAGTATGAGGGAAGAAGGATATACATGATGCACTGACCATGTGATATAGCCATCTTTACCCACGTTTACACTCATTTCGGGTCATTCCGATAGTTCGAATCCGTAGGGATGAAATAAAAGGTGAGACAAGACCAGTTTGTGAAGAAGTGAGGTGGTTGCGCAATTTCGGCTCGGGCATGGCCTAACCGTGAAACTGAACGCAGCTGCGCTGGCGAGAAAATACACCAGGTGGAAACGAGTGACATCACCCAATATCAAGTGCCTAATCTAGAAGAGCCAGGGTGAGGAGTAAAAGACACAAACTTAAAGGTTCTGCATACGGCGAGATAAAATTCGGATCATGTCACCTGAAAATGCCTGGAATCGACCTAGTCGTCATTTGGTAAACAATTGGTGTATTTGTCGTTGGTCAATAAACCTGAAACGATTACTTATCTATTGGTTACAGGCATTTTCCAATGGACTAAAAACAGCTATAGATCACTGGTTCAAAAAGGTGTCAAGTGAACAAGTTCCACGGACAAGACTAGACGCAAACTGGAAGAATCATCGGTATTCAGTACGCCCGAAGTACGAGTCCAGTAACCAATCCACAGATTCTTTCCAAGACTTTCCAGAAAGGAGAATTCAGATCGCTCATTAACCTTAATTTTATTCGTAATTCCGCAACTACCGTTCTGATTCGAATACAAGTATCCTTCTTTTTACACTCTGAGTCCTTAGGCCAGTGGACATAAATCGTCGCTGCCAAAATCATTTACATGGGAAACAAACGAATGTCTAAGCTGTGAACATTACTGATTTAGGAGCGGACAGAGGACGCACTTCTGCAATCACTACATGATAAGGGAAGCAATTGATTCAGTATTGATGCATAGGAGTTTGAGCATGAGCCTTTGAAATTGCATCTAATGACGACACTCCTCTCCGACGACCCCCTCTTCAATACGACTGTGATTGAGCTTGAGAATCTCAAATTTCAGGTTATTCGTCCCTTTATACCATGTTCACCCGACAAATATTACTGAAGTCATCCGGTTTGTCCGGGGTTGTGAGAATGGTAACATAGTTGAACTTCTCAGAAAAGTTACCTGAATCTCCAGTAGCCTTGTCAGCAAAATCTGCAGGTGGAAATCTTTATAAAGCCAAACAAAGGACATTAAACACGGAGGCACAAGAAAAAATGACCTCTTAGGAGAAACGACACCTATTCAGCTAGAAGAATTTCCAGTTAGTGTGAATTACCACTCACTCCAGTTCATACTATCGTAGAACGAGTTTGGTTTGCCATAGATATAGTCTGTCGTGTTTTCCTAAAAATTACGCAGGCGAACCACTAGTTCAACAACTATCACACTTTACACTAAGTCGATTGTCGATTAATCAAAATGTGGCACATTTCCGTGAAGAGGTTCCAGTTTCACGCTCTGTGGATTTATGAAACCGAACGCTCAGTAGTTATTTTAGTTCTTGATCTTCGCATCAGCTGGAATTTTGCAGGCAGAAATACATCACACTGAAACAGACGTCTGTAAACTATAAAATTATCATTGCATTCTCTCAGGTCACCAACGAACACCGTCAGTGCAACGGAAACTGACCGACTCTCTGCACCAGTTTTGGACGGTTGTGAGCGGCAGAGATCCGATGCATCATCAGAGAGAACACGTTCCTAGAAAAGTTGCTGTTAAGCAAAGGATTGCGTAGTCAGATATTTGGGTATAATCAAAACAATCCCGAAGTAGTCTAATATATCTCGCGTTCACAAACGCGGACCGTCTAAAGTAGAACTGCTTACAAGCAGGAGCATACTCGAGCTTAGTATCAACTGGCATTTACCCTCAAATAATTCGACTTTGATAGTGTCCACCAAGGGACATTGATTAGAAGCCCAAAATTTTCGAAGTGATAACAGAGTCTTATGCCAAGGTTCGTCGGAGCGATAGGAAGGTGAGAGAAAAGCACCTGGTGGTCACTAGGGTTCCTTGCGAGTTGGCTTTGCTTATCGACTCCCAAACGAGAATTTTAATTTCGGTCGGGTAGACGAACACCACGGTATGGCACTATCCAGTGCACGTATCAGTGCACATAGACGTGCTGCCCTTCCGAATGAAGAGTACTGAGTTAAACCTGAGAATATGGATGCGCGTAACCGCGGTCAGCATGAAGGTGACGTATTCGAGATTTCAGCTGTCCCGATTTGCGGAGTAGCGCTCATCATCAGTAGAAGGCACCCAACAACAAAAAAGTACTGACCGTTTCTTTTGCCACATTTGCTCCACGACATCAGCCATTTCATTACTGGACAATTCATTTTCATCTTGAAATTTTAGAAAACCATCACCACCGTGACCTGAAAATAACTGAAGTGCGACGAAACTAGTACCTGTCATGTAGATCAAAATATTGCTATGCTCATCCGTATTCAACCGTTTCGAAGTAGGTGTGGAAGGTGGAAGCCGACCAGTAAGTACTCGAATGAAGTTCTCAACCGTGACTTCATAGCCTCGATAATCTACCTCAATTGATTCTCCATACAAATTGATTGGATTGTAAGGGTTGTTGAATATTTGAGCTTTTGGGGGAGAGGCATAGAGAAACAAATGACCAAGGAAATGCGGAACTTACCTGGTCTGGGATTCCTAGGGCTACAACTAGCATCATCAGACAGCATCAAAATTATCCGACTATAAAACAGACTAATAGTGCATTGAAGGGGACAAACCTGTCTGGGATACCCAGCCTTTTGATATGCCGGTAAATAGCTAGTGTGTTGGACAGGTGACGATAGTTAAACCAAAATCGGGAAGTATCAACAAGTACAGCCCAATTCGACGTGTGTCGCGCATGAGTGGTGATAAACAATAACTATGAACAGAGTTAGCTGAGTCGCAAAGTTTATTTACTGAAAGCAAAAAAGATAGTGTAATTCCCTCCAGGTTATGTGGCGGATTCATTCTCACCCAGCAGTCTGAAAAAAACTGATAAAGATAAATATTTGACACTGGTATATGATACAAACTACAGAGTAAGAACTCGGGCTTCTGGAATCATCATCATCATCACCATCGACAGCGTGACATCAGTGTTCAACACTGATGCTTCACTGCCGTACAACCATGACTTAGTTGAAAGCCTTATTGTAAAGAAAAGAATAAAGGTGGATGGGGAGGGACTTAGTGCTAGCTTAACACAATCATTCCGAGGTGCCTACACCTCCAGACATTCACTCAGGCAATCTGGACAGAAACTGACAACAAGAACGCCACTGACATCGGTTGGCAACCATATCTTGTAGTGTCTCCAACCAGGCACAGTGAGGATCACGCGGTCCCCATCCTGGAAGGCGAGTAGCACCGACAGCACCCAAGCGTTTCGTCATCTCCTTCATTATCCTCTGCTAGGCCAAGGGCTGCCCACCTCTCTGTTTACGCCACTCTGACTTGGGGAAGGAAAACAGCACACTCTTCGGCAAACGATGGTTCGGTATACGTAACACATGTCCTAACCAACGCAGCTTCTGGTGCTGGACACATTCTTCAATGGAAGTACCCGTTACACAACCGACAACGCGCTTTCTAACTGCCTCATTACGGATTCGCCGAAACTAACTCACACGAGCTATGGTTCTGGGACAACGAACACCTGAAGACGTCTCAAGTCCGCTGCTCGAGTAGGCCAAGTCTCACAGCCATACAACAAAACAGCCCGTACTGTAGCTTGATACACACGTCCCTTCAGATTCAGGGATAAACCATTCTGACGCCATAGGTGTCTCAAGTTAGCAAACGCGGCCCGAGCCTTGCAGATTCGTGCATTCACCTCATCTGTCACACTACAGTCAGAACTAATACAACTTCCAAGATACGTAAAACGCTCACAACTTCCAGTA